ATATCATATATAAATTTATTAGTGAAGCGAAAGCCTTTATAAGCTTTAGCATGAATCAGTTAGGTTAATTAGCTGTATTCATTACTAATATTATAAAATCAATTACCATATTATTAAGTTTTCACTGTACATGTGTTAGCAGATCGAAAAAATGTGCTGGACATAAAAATGACGCGTTATATGAATCATTTGAATGCAGCTGATAACAAACTAAAATGCCCGCACATTCTCAAACTAATGAGTATCATGTTTATTATCAATTAAATACTATAAGCTGCTGCTATCTCTGTTTAGTATACACACATTAAAATACATACATACCAATATACCAATATATGTATCATTTAACTCTATTCGACAGATTCCTGTGCCGGTAGTGAATACGCTTATGAATGCTACGAAATTTTTGCCGTATACGGGTCTTAGTGGGAAAACCTTGAGAGAGAATTTGGGCTCGCATTACGGCACGGATTACACATCGAACTACAAGAATGTGGACTTCTCAACAACGTTCGGTGTGCTCTTCTCTGGCGTTACGGGCATTATGGCTGGTGCAAACATGTCCGGGGAGCTGAAGAATCCCTCAAAGAGTATACCATGGGGGACACTGTCTGCCGTCTGCTTCACATTCGTCTCGTATATCATACTCTCGTTCCTGATGAGCTGCACCACGCCGTATGTGACCATGCAGAACAACTATCTGTTCCTGATGCCCGTCAATCTGTGGCCCCCATTTACAGCCATTGGCATTCTGACGGCCACCTTCTCGACAGGGCTGAGCAATTTGATTGGTTCCAGTCGCATTTTGGAGGCGCTCAGCAAGGATCAGGTCTTTGGCTCGCTGCTGAACTTTGTGCTCCGTGGCACCTGGAAGGGAAATCCCATCTGCGCTGTGGTCATCAGTTGGGTGCTGGTCGAGTGCATCCTGCTGATTGGCTCCTTCAATATTATTGCCCAGATTAATTCCGTGCTTTTTATGCTCTCGTATTTGGCCACAAATCTTGCCTGTTTGGGTATTGAGCTGACCGGTGCACCTAATTTCCGACCACTCTTCAAATACTTCACCTGGCACACCTGCCTGGTCGGTTTGTTGGGCACATTGATCATGATGTTCGTCATCAATCCAATTTATGCCTCATCCTGCATCATATTGTGTTTGATCCTGGTCATTGCACTGCATCTCTTCTCCCCAGCCACGCAGGCAGCGCAGTGGGGCTCCATTTCCCAGGCCCTAATGTTCCACCAGGTGAGCTGCGCATGGAATTTGTATTTATCTTTTACTTGAACTCCCGTATTTCAGGTTCGCAAATATCTGCTTATGCTAGATCCACGCAAAGATCACGTCAAATTTTGGCGTCCACAAATTCTACTCTTGGTCTCCTCGCCGCGCTCCTGCTGTCCACTTGTTGACTTTGTCAATGATCTTAAGAAGAGCGGTCTCTACATCATTGGCCACGTCAAGATTGGCGACTGCAATGGCGTCGAAGATGCCGTCGAAAATCAGCAGTGGTGGTCCTTCCTGGATCACATGCGTGTCAAGGCCTTCACCGAGGTGACCATCGGTCGCAGCATACGCGAAGGGGTTCAGCATTTAATACGCTTGTCTGGCATTGGCGCCATGAAGCCAAATACCATTATTTTAGGCTTCTACGACAATGAGGCACCAAAGGATTTCTTTCAAAAGTATGTAGCTAAAAACGTATTAAATAGGAGACACTACACATCTGTTTAGATTCTTATTAATAATTGCCTTTAAATTTTAGTGGAACCTCCCCCTATAAAACGGATGGCTTTAATGAGGGTGATGCACTCAGTTTTCCCATACGACGTGATGGTGAACCGAAACAGTTTGAGGTGCAGGAATATGTGCAAATCCTTTGCGATATCCTGCGCATGAAGAAGAATCTGTGCTTGTGCCGCAACTTTCAGCGCCTAGACAAGAATTTCATAACCATGTGCGTTCGAAATGAAATGAATTTCAAATTAGTTCGAGTTTTTAATGGACATTTCTAATTTTACAGAAGCAAACATGTGAAATATATAGATGTGTGGCCCATTAATGTATTCAATCCCACATCGGGCGATCCCTTTGACATGGTCTCACTGTTCATGATGCAATTGGCGGTCATCATGTTGGCCAAGTGGAAGCATCTGCGAGTGCGCATCTTTCTGTGCGAAACGAATGAAGAGAGCACTGTGGGGTAAATACAATGCTAGGTCAAAAGAAAGAGTTAAGTATTAAGAGAGTTGATTTGCAGCACCTTTGATACGCAAGCACCCCAAATGGACATATTCTCCAAGCTGAAGCTGGAGCAAACGCTGAAGGAGCTTCGTATTAATGCGGAAATTATTGAGATACAGGAATGGAGCCGAAACTCGGACTTCACGCGACATGCACGCATTCTCAGGCAATTCACGGCGCAAGCGGACGAAGCATTGCTGGACGATGGCGATGAAATTGTCGAGGAGAAATTCAATCATTCGCTATTGTATATGCAGCGTGTTAATCAAATAATACGCGATCGTTCCGATCAGACGGCTCTATCATTCATTTACTTGGCTGCACCGCCAAAGCCCTCATTGACGGACTTTAGTGATCGCAGTGCCAGCTACATTGAGCTACTCACCGAGCTAACAGCCGAGCTGCCGCCGACTATTCTAGTGCATGGCGTCAGTACTGTGACCTCGACTACGCTCTAAGCTAAGGCGGACAGACACCCACAACAACTCTCTTTCTCCGATTCGCTCGTGCTGGAGATTGCAGGCGTACAGTGATATTAAATGCATTGCATACGCGGCACAAACACATTATGGACTTTAACAAGCCGCACATTAAAACTGGATTAAACCAATTTCGTAATACGTTCGCTCTCTTTCTCAAATTCGTAAGCCTCTGGGGCTCTGTGCTATTGTTTAATATATGAGTATTTGTGTTGTCCGTAGGCTGAAAGCTATAGAACATATAAGGGCATAACGTAATCATGTTTAATTTTAACTTATTTTAAATAACAAAAAGCAGAAACACTCTAATATCATCGAAACCCTTCGCACTAATTATCATATCAGTAAATTCTCAAATTAACACCTACTTTTATACGAATATACAACAATATTTCACACATATGTGCGGACCACTTATAGATAAACAGACAAACAAACGGAAAACTACATAGATATACATATACACATATACATACATACGTTTTTTGCTCTGTTTGATATTAACGATTTTGTGATTCGAGAACCCGCTCTCTATTATAGCAAAAAGTATTATAAAAAAAAAAAAAAAAAAAAAAAACAAAATGTTTCACAAAGCAAAAAATCATATACAATTATTCATTTGTTTTAGTAATTAGTTTTCTACATATTTATGACAACTCACAGCGCGCAATTTACATCTAACTGTTGCGAAATTTTTAAGCTAGACATATTTTAAATTATGCACATAAATATATTTTTCTGTTTCGTCAGTTGATTGTGGTTGTGCCTGTGAATAACCCGTATATATAAACATTTTAATTATATTTTATGAGAAATGTATTCAATTCTTTCCAATAACATAATAAACATACCTACGTGTATCTTAATGTAAATTCTGAGGTATTTGAGTCAATATTGCAATTATGGGAGCTATGTGGGATTGCTTGATATGGAAGTAATATTATGATCATTTTCTTTTAGCAAAAGATTACAGATTTTTTTAGAATAGCTTCCTTAAAGTTATTCCAAGAGTTTCAAGTATTCTTTAGATTCCTTATTACTAACTTGAATTGAATTATTATTTTATATAAAATAGAAGTAGAAATATTTTTCCTATTTTGGTAATTACAAAATATTTGAAATAAAACTAGTTAATATTATTTTAGTATAATATATTAAAGCAAAATCTTAAATTTTTTTTTTAGAGTTATCGAAAACAAAACATGACTGTTTTTTACTGAATGTTTGTAGACCTATAAAGAGTATTTGAACATCGGCTTGCTGGACAGTGACAGTTCAGTTTATATTTGAATGAATGAAACCCAAATGGTGATCAAGATATTGGTGCGATTCAGAGTGAGTCCAGAATTGCATATCATGCTGTCCATTGCAATTTCGGAATTGTATGATACTCTCGAGTCATCCATGATCCACATGATCGTCTAAGTGAACTACTTTCCATGGCTATCAGACTTGGACTCCCGCCCACTTTCAAGGTAGCCGCAACGAAAGGTTAATTAAATGTAGGGAGAAATCAATTCAAACACTTGGCTGCATTTCTATGGAAAACGGCCAAAACAATTCCAAACACAGACAAGCGTCTGAGCGCCGGCCATGGCTAAAATGTACAAATGATGCACAAGAGCCGCAAGAGTTGTCCCGATATTTCACACAATGATGCGCCGACAAAAGGGCACGGCATGGATCGTGACGTTTGATCTTGACGCTCGGCTGGCTTCTGGCTTCTGCTGCCCGATGATGATGAGCCGCTGATCGATGTGCCACGCGACCGCAAAACTCTCGACATTATGCTGCACAATTTCTGGCGAAACGACCTGAAAACGCTAAAGCCAACGGCTCGGACCCAATCATGGGTCATAGCCTGAATAGCTCGGAGATCAGCTAAAGATGGGCAACGCCTTGACTGGAACTTCCAATTAGCATGTACGACGCGTCGTTTACCTGCCCAGCCGTTGGGCCAGTTGCATGTCCTTGTCAAAATAGCAAACAATAGACGCGTAGGCGGTGCTGCGGCCCGAAAGTCAATTCAAGTCAAGTCGATTTCCACTCAACAATAGGCCAACTGATGATAATCTGCTTTCCTTCTGCGACCAGGATTAATCGTTTTCGTCGAGCGGTTTAGCTGTTGGCGCTAAATTGCGAAAATGCGATTAGTTGCTCAACTATTGTTCAACTATTGCGTGAGATTGTTGCCAAGAGCAAGATGAAGATTCTCTTTTGTGCCTGGGAAAGTCGCAAGTGCTTGTGCACTTGTCCAGTGTGCCCTTTTGTTTGGCCAAACAATGCAATTTCAGCCATAGTTTTTCCATTGTACTGCCGTTATTTACTGCCAGCAAATTACCATGTAATATTCCAGCATTATGGCTAATATTCTCTGCACATACATATCTAATATTTTTGTTTTGGTTTCTGCGAAAATTCGCTTTGCCTGCCGGCCAGACAGCTTGTCGCTCATGGGATTAGCTTCGACTTTTCGAAATATCTCGACAATTTGAATAGTTTTTTAATTTTTGATGTTGAGTCTATTTCTAGGAACACAAACATAACTTAAGACACACGACAAGCTGCTGCCGCTGCCGCTGCCGCTGCCTCTGGCTCTACCTCTGCCCCAGTATCAGCATATCCGTTAGACGCGTCTCTGATAACCCAAATGTGTCGAGGTAATTGCAACGTTTATATGAGAATTTATTGACACTTGAGCATGATGAGGAAAACAAACAGTAAGCGAGTTGAAAATCAACTAAATACCCTTTTTTCTCGGCTGGCAGGATCCTTTCGGCAGGTAGCTTCGCTGCGCCTTCTGAGCAAGCGGCAGTCCCTATTGATGAGTATCATAAATTGTCATCACATAAATAGCGCCGTGACATTTATGACTCCATTGCGACTGCCGTTGGGTAATCTGTGTCCTTTTCCTTTTCTTTCCTTTCCTTTCGTTTTTTTTTTTTTTTTTTTTTTTTGGTTTTTGTTTTCGTTAACAGACACGAGCCTCAAGGATATATACACCTATATCTTAATAAGCATTTAATGGTAGCGGTAAAAAGGCGCACAAACACAGTTCCATTCGTCAGTCGAGGCAGCAGAAGTGTTAAGTGGGCGACTGATAAGTTTTTGTTACTAGCAACAGCTAGCCATGGGGTGCCAAGAGATTGCGTGTTATGCCTTGGCGATTTGGTCAGCAGACAATATCTGAGACAGATTCATTCAAGACAGAGAAGTCGCCTTTAGAGTACAGTACAACAACTCTATGATCAACACGATCTCCTTTATATTAATAGTATATATATTAGCTAGTGCAAGGAATATTCAAAATATATATTTGCATTCCAATATTTGGTAACAGCTTGTTTTAAGCCAAATGATCTAAACCATGTATATTTGATTTACAGCTCTAGAGCCCCCAACTAGGAACTGCCCTGCATCGTAAAAATAAAGTTTAATAACGTATTTTTTGAAGTTCTTTATTTAAATAAAAGAATGATGTTTGCAAAATTTATGGATCCTAAAATCCAAAATATCTCGAGTTTCCTTTTATTTGGGGCTATGTAATAAGACAGTCTTAAATGATTCAGAGTAGTAGAATAAAGAAAGCTAATATTCAGTAGCTGACTTTTGTTCAATTCGTTTACTATAAATACATATGATACTTATACAACCCATAAAAGTCAAGTTGGCTAAAAAAATAATAATAGTTTATTTCTTGTTTTGCTTATTATTTCACATATCCATGTACAATACTATTTTGATATATTGCTTACAGCTGTTTACTTAAGAAGTTATACATATGTCAGTAGGCTAAAAATACAGAAAGTGAATTCGGGCCTTACACAATTTGGCTCTGTCTAGAAATATGTTATTCGTATGGTTATTTAAATTTGTATAGCATTAAATATAAATTGTGAACTAGCTTTATCTATTGTTCATTTATTTATATTTATGTCCAGATCTCAAATCTGATGAACTAATGACAGAAACGATAAATGTTTCACATAATTTTCAGCTATGTAAATTGTTGATGGATCTTTGCTATGGTAGCTGTGAAGAGTAGAAGAAGAAGACGAAAAAAATATTATTAAATATGTTTTTAATAGAGTGATACTCAGATTTTCATGCGCATGCGACCTTTTATCAATTAAAATAAAAATATAGCATGTTATAATAATAATTAAATATATATATCATGTTGCAGCTTTTTCTTGAGATATCTGAAACAGATTTCCATCTCAAGAGAAACATTTTATCGCAAATGAATGTAAATATGAACGCTTCATGATCGTGCGAAAAAAAAGAATCAGTTCTTTACGTACGGTGAACTGCAACTGTTTTTAAAGAAATCGCCCGAAATAATTTCTGTTTGGTTGACCCAATAAAGCACAATGGCTAAAATCGAAAGTTGCAACAAAGGAAAACCGCACTTGAGAGAAATTCTTTTGTTTGGTACAGCAAAACATTTACTGGTTGGAGGATCGCTAGACCACAAACATGCAAACTAAATTGGCGACTGGCTACTGGCCCAAAGCACAATAAGAATGCTGATGGTAAAAAAGATGCAAAAAAAAAAGAAAAAAGAAAAAAATAAATAGTAATAATAAATGAATTGGCTTCATATAATATGTGAAGATTGCGAAGCATAACAAAAGGCTGGCTTACAGGCTTTGTGTGATCCCTAAGCGACCTTGGCAACAATTGTTTGACATATCGAATTAAAATTGAAATGAAAAAGAAGTTGCACTAAATATATAAGTATATGTGTGTAAATATATGTGTATATATATGTGCGTGTATGTATATGGCAGGTCACATCGAGCGGCTTTGCCGTGGCAATTAAACGTTTTGACCGCAAGCCAATTTAGGGCACGGGCTGCGCACAGGTAAATGCCGGGCAGGTAGAAAACAGGATCAGGCCGAGCCAAGCTGAGCTCAACGAATCAGGTAAGAGCAGCGGCAGCAGCCAATCAACATCAACTGTTGCTGCTGCTGCCGTTTGTGCAGCCTATTTAAGGCCCAGTCTGGGCCTGGCCTTCAGTCAGTTATCCTTTGGCTTAGCACACACGCACAACATGTTGACGAACAACGAGCTCATCGAGCACTTCTACTACAGCGCCGATAGTCTGGAGGCCGACTCCTCGGAGACCATGCTCGGCCAGGACAACTTGCAGCAGCAGCTGGAGCAGTTCATGAATCAGCAGGAGGACAGAGACTTTAGCGGCAGCGCGGACAGCTTATCCGATGGCACCAATAGCTGCTCTCTGGAGCTGTACTACGATACACCAGCCGTGCTGGAGTTGGAGCAAATGCTCAGCGCTCAAACCCAACAGCAGCACAAGCAGCTGCAACGCCAACAGCAACAACAACAGCAACTGCAGCAGCAACAACAACAGATTCAACAGCAATTGTCTGTTGGTGCCAGCAAATACCAGACAAAGGCAGCCAAATATTGGCAAAAGACAGCACGCAGCAGACCCTATGACTACCATCATGCCTATCCGAGTGCCTCATATGAGGAGGAGCCGGAGGAGCACGAGAGCTGCGGCAAAGATGTCCTGCGCAAGCGCCGGCTGGCGGCCAATGCACGCGAACGTCGCCGCATGAACAGCCTCAATGATGCCTTCGACAAGCTGAGGGATGTGGTGCCATCTCTGGGTCACGATCGACGACTCTCCAAGTACGAAACATTGCAAATGGCGCAGGCGTACATTGGGGATCTGCTCACGCTGCTAGCCAGAGACTACTGAGCGGGCGGGGGCCGGTGGGGGGCATCAATGCAACCGGGGCGTGTTGCTGCAACACTTGATCCTAGTGTCAACTTTTAAAGGCTGTTAATTCCTAAATTTAGCTGATAGACTTTTGTAAATAAGTTAGGATTTTTAAAGCGTTTATTAAATACAATTATGATAATATTAATCTGAGTTTTTTATTTATTTATTTATACTCGCTCATAAAAAGTATGTTGACTTTCTCTAGAGGTAGAGGCAGAGCAAGGCACAAATATATATGTAGATCCTAACACATGCCTAATTTCTATAATTTAGTAAAGACTTTAATGTCAAAAGAAATTAGGGGCGTAGAGCTTATAATTAAAGCTTAAAAAAAGAACTTAAAAACTTAAATTGAAGACAAAATTTGTATTTCTCTGATTTCATGAATAACTTTAAATAAAAAATTTATATATTTTTTCGTATTGTTGTATGATTATTAATAAATAAATATCACCAACAATTTATTTTGCTTGATTAGAATGTTTATTGTATAAATTGATTTATACATTTATGTAGTTAATATTTTTTTTTTTTAACTATTTGAAGTTATCCTCAAGAACTTCATTGGAAATTACGAAATCCACTAAAATCAAATCTTAATACAATTTTTATTTTTATTTGAATGAAATAATACTTTTCTCTATTCCAAATATATTTATATAAAAATCTGTATATACTAAAAATGTATATAAAATCATACACTACTTTTTGTTATTGGAGCAGCAAATATTTTCTGTTTCCACATATATGTACTATATCAACATTTTAACCCAACGATTTGGCTCATTAATTCACAATTTCCAGCTATCGCAGTAACCCTGCCCAAACCAAAAAAAAAAAGGTCCTTGAGAACGCAATATGCTGAGCAGCGGGCGTAACGCCCCCAAAATAGAAGCAGAGTCAAAACAAGAGCTCGCCGACAGACGATTGATGAGTTCCGACTTCCGATGTCGAACAAAAAGAAGAAACAGTAAGAGCAAACCAGCTCACCTAACTGGAGGTGATTAAGTGCCGTCAACGTCAACAGGTAAACAACACTAAATGCTGCCTTAGATCCTGTGCCGCACAGGACACAGGACACGAAATTTGATTTAAACACTGTAATTTGTGCACATGAAATGAAAAAAGATTTTTCAATTTTAAATATCACATTTAAGGTTTGTATTTAAACAGCTAAATGTACATTACTAAGCTTAACTACACTTAAGCATACAATATATATTATCTATTTAATAACTAGTTTTAGTTAAGGTAATTTTGATACACATATGACTTGCTGATCAACTGACTATAACTTTTATTTTCTATTTAATTTCTTCACAAGTTTTTGTATTTTTCTTCTTTTTTTTTTTTTTTTGGTTTTGGCATACGACGATGATATGATATTTGGTTTACTTATGGCAGAGTTTGTACTTAAGAGATTATGAGAGTTCTTTTGTTCGAGAATTGGATTTCAGATTAGAAGTTACCACAATATGTTCGGCAATGCCACTGTAGAATGTTTTTCTAGAACTCCAAATTGGGAAATATTTTTACTATAAAGAAACTCGGATCAGTCTTGCAGTTCGTTTGGAAAATGTCAATTTTGTTGTCACACCCACATGGGAGTTCAGTCATTCCACATAGTTTTGTCCAATGGATCAGTGAAAAAATTAAAGGAATTGTTCATATCAATATATCTGATGCGCCCCTTAGCTTTCGAGTAAATGTTTAATAGAATTTAATTTTTATTTAATTTGAAATTCTTTAAACGAGATGTTTTTGTTTTCTTTTTTTTCCGAACAGAGGGTTATTATTTAAATATTTCTTGTATGTAGACATTCAGTGAAGAGCATAAAACATTGGCATAACCGAAGTTCATTTAGATACATTTAGTGGTTAATTTAATAATTACATTTATATTATTTACATCATACTTTTGCTTACGTCTAGGGCTGAAAACTAAAAGCAATGTTTGAAGTTAACTAAAGTTAGATTACATATATATTTAAAGTATATATAATATTAAAAACTAAGGCAACTCTAAACTTAAAGGAAATTTTTGCAATATGTTTCTAAACAAGTCTTGAAGTGTGTTTTTATTTGTGTTTCTCTGTAGTGAGAGCAATTGAAATCGAGATTTGTATCGTTGACTTTTAATTGAAAACTTATAGGCCACACAGGAAATTAACAGAAATTTGGCACAGGACTTTGGAGGTTTGAAAGAAATTAAAAAATTCTGCCATAAAAGCAATAGGAGTTCATTGAGGTAAGACCCAGACAAACCCAAAAATTCACATCATAAAGATCATGGATGCAGTTTATTAAACTCTTAAAATCTGTTCTATTCACTCCAAAAATTTGTTTTATAAATTCTCAGATGCGTCTCTCTTAGTATAACCCCAACTAGGTATGCATGCCGTAATTTTAACGATATATATATATATTAGTATCAAGACAAAATCGTGAAGAGAGACCAGGTGCAAAACTGTCGTATATATGCATATAATATATAGATTATATTGTATTTATATCAGGAAATTGTAAAACGTTATGCTTAAACATAGCTCGCATTTAGCTTGGTGTCCATACTGTTGCGTCCAAATGGGCTTCTATATAGTTTATTAAATAGCCAACGATCCACAGCTTTGAAGCGTGTGAGTGTGTGTGTGTGTAAGGGGACTGTATATGCGTCGTAAGGCTAAATCCAAATGAGATAAAGTCAACTAACAACTAAAATAAACTATGCACTTCCATACGCGTGTGTGTGTGTGTGTGGCAATTCGTGGGTGTGTGTGTATGTATATGTATACTATATTGAAGCTATAATACGTAATTACATCCAAGGTTTACCACGCATGCGCCCCCGTCCGCCATTGTTGCGCATGGGTCCACCGCCACGTTGAAAGAATGGACGCGGTCCTGGCCCCTGTCCGCCATCAAAGGGGCCGGGCATACGTTGATAATTGGGTCTATACGGTCCTGACCAGCCGCGACCACGGCCACGTCCGCGATTCATATTATCTGGACTATTGCCAAATGGTTGAAACGGAAATGGACCACCTGCAAACGGTGGCCTCGGTGGGGGCGGCACACCACCCGCTCCATTGTTGCCCTCATTGCCGTTCCAGGGCATTGGCGGTTGCATTTGATTCCATGGCTGTTGCTGTGGCGGCAACGGCGGCGGCTGTTGCATTTGTTGCTGTGTATCGGCCTGCTGTTGCATGTCCTGCATGTTGCCGGCGCCCGGTGCCGTTAGAAAACTGTTAGCATCCCATTGAAAGTCCTGCGGCGTTTCTAGCAGCACGGGACGGGGAGTTAAGGTGCCATTAGCATCCAGTTCACCATCGGCATTCTCTAGATGCAGCTGCTCCGCATTGGCATTGAGCTCTGTATGGAAATTGTTACATGTCAAATTTGCCACTAAAGCTAAGAACTATTGTTTTAATGACGGTTCTTGCCAATACCTATCTGCGACTCCTCCAGATCCTCATCGGACATGTCCATATCAACAACCATATCTGCGGGATCATACCGTGCCGAGCCATCCACCCGATCTGATTCCGAAGAGGAACCTGGAAATTCATAAGGGAATCAAATTGATGTCCTCGTATGTGGATTCAAAACATTGATCTTACTCGCATTGGATTTCTGCGGCGAGCTAGTCTTCTTCACATAGCTGCCAGGCGGCGCCATCATGGGCGAATTGTTCCCCAGACTGCGTATAGCACTGCCGGCCTCCTCGTTTTTGGGCGCTGTACGGTAATCAACATCGCCAACGCCAAAGTCCTGCAAAGCCATAAATATTAATTACATTGTTCAAAAAGATTTTACAGAAATGAAAGCCTGACGTTGAAGTTGAAGCAAATGAAATAGACAAATGCAATCTATAACAAGCAATTGCATTGAAAAACATTTAAAAACAATCTGCTTGAATTACTTTTCGGAAAGCCCTAACTTTAAGCCGCTTACAACAAATTTTGGCAGGCTTTACTGTGCTGCCCAAACACACCTTATCGGCACCGCCTGGCGAACCAGTCAGCGATATTAAATTCCTATGATCAATGTCCACTAAATGCCGCGTTTGCTCTTCGCTCAGCGCTGACTTGGCGCGAAAATTGAATGCCGGCGGCAGCTGAATCGTTCGATGATCCACATCCTGTGCGCCCAGCGCTGACACATTATGATGTTCACTGTACTCAATGGGCGCGCTGCTGCTGCCCTTGCGCTCGAAGTGGGGCGGCGAGTGCGGCGTCGATTGCGTTGGCGCTGTATAGCTGGAGCTGGCACCGCTGCTGTTCAGGCTGGTGTCGTGCGGCGTCCAGGTCATGCTCATGTCCCAGGTGCTGTTGAAGTCGTCCACGCTGCCCGCCGCTGTTATGGCCGGCGGCATGGGCGGTGGCGGTGCCATCGGATTGCTACTCAAAGGCGCGGGCGTATACTGACTATCCGACGGACCGTAGCCAAGATGCGGCGGCGGTGGCGGCGCATATTCTTGTGCCGGGCCACCGAACATGGGCGGCGCTGGTGGTGGCAACACACCACCATAGCCAGACACCCCCTGACTGGGATTGTATTCATCGCTGGAGCCGCCGCTGCCTCCGCCGTTGCCACTGCCACCCAGGCCCGGTATGACGCTGCCGCCGTTGCCGTTGGCATTGTTACTGCTGTAGCTCCTGTTCAACGGCTCGGGCTTATAATAATTGGAGCCGGGCGTATAGCTCTCGTCATCTGAACGCGAACCAATCACCTCAATGGCGCTGCCACGATCCTTGCCGCTCGACTCTCGCTTAAAATCGTTGATATCAAACGGCAGCTGGCCGCCATCCAGATAGCTGGCGAATCCATTTAGACCGCTGCCGCTGAACAAGTTCTGAGGAACATAAAAACCAGAAGAACTATATAGGAGGTTTCCCAATATCGCCTTATTCTGAATATTAGTGATGAAAATAAAAAGATTAGCATGCGAATCGATAAAGAAAATCATTCAATAAAACTTGGATAAAGTGTCCAATTTTATTTGATACAAAAAATACATTAAAAAATATAATCTATTGACTATTAAAAAATATTGCATAGTGATCGCTTGAAAAGTGTGATAATGTTAAATAACTGTAAAATGTGTGTTTTAGCTACTTTTTCTATTTTTTGTAATTCAATAGAATTTTCTGTACTGAAAATTCAATAAATTCAATTCTAAATAATTATATATAAACCCAAAGCTGTCATAAATTAAAATCTTTACTTTAAGCGAGCTGTTGCTATTTGCGAGCGATCACTGTACTCATTTACTCTACATTTCTAAAATACAAACACAATATAAAGCACATTTATATTTATTGTGTTTTATAGCTTACCACGCCCAACGGTGAATTGTTCTCATCCGGCAGCTGGAGATCTGCATCTCGTTCCGGTGAGGGTGCATTGATATCCGGTGAGGGTATCGGACTGGATAGCGTTGGTATAACCTCGTCCAGCTTGCGCTTGACTATCTTAATGCGTGTACCAAAGCTTTTATAAGCCTGAAATGAACATAAATATATTTATTAGTTAAATTGTTTATTATCTATCAACTTTTTGTCTTAACTTACACTGGCCACAACTTTAACCTCACGGCCCTGATGCTCGTAGAACTTTTTGGCGGCCTCGATCGACTCCAGCACCGCTTTGCGACTCTTGATCTCGTTTTGGAGATTCTTGTTGTACGCATTAATAAAGGCCACACAGCGTTCCACCTCCTTTTCGATGTCGCCGGAATGGCTTTTGTCTTTCAACTGTTGTTTGATGGCTTCGATTTCGAAATTCGGTGGCTTCGGTAGCTTCTTCATGCTCTTGTCCGTCGTCTCGGCCAGCTCAACACATTCACGCACTTGCGCAATGAGCGTTGCATTCTGGTACTCATTACTTGGATCTGCGCTGGCTGGGGCTTTCTTTGGCGGCGCTATATTGAGAAGGCCGCTCAGATCGCTCAGAAATTCTTCGTTGTAAATTTCGCGCTGTTCCCAGATTTTAAAGATGCGCAAGATTTTGCTCTTAACACGTTCATCGCTTTGAAAAAGGAATAAAAATTGATTATTAAAACTTTAAATTAATAAAAATAATTATAAGTTAACGTTTAATATATTAAAACTTATACAGGGTCTATAAGAAATTAAAATTAAAAATACTATGTCAAGGAGTTTAAATGCAATAAAAAAAATATTATGTTAACTCTATTGAACAATTCAATAAATATAATATTAGGAATAACATGTTTTTAAATTAAAGCCTCAACAAAAGTAAGTTTTAATATTTTTATAGGGTATCTGTGAGTCGACTACTCTTCCTACTTACCGCACCATAGTGGTGGCCCTTTGGAGTGCCGTCGCCCAGCATTCCACAAATTCGTAGCGCTTGCGCTTGCTGTACTGGATGACATCGTTGGCCAGATAGAACAGAACCAAACGATGATCGACTCGAACTGTGGCAAAAGGTTGATGAGTCTTAGCTAACAATAATAATAATGGTACGCACCTCGTTTGAATACGTTTAACCAGCACTGGATTATCTTCTTGTGATTAATGCGATGCTGCAGGCACCAGCTGGACATTTGCTGTATGCACTCCTGCGTGTCCTTCAGCGCTTCGAGCCGCGTCTCAAATAGCTCCTCATCAAAGACTTCATTTGCTTTGGACATTTCAGTTTTTGTTGCTGTTGAGGTTGCTGTTTGGCTCATGGTGCATTACAATGGCGCCAATTTATTTTGGGGAATAGTTTTCTGTATAAGCGCCCAGTTACCCTCGCTGGGGCAGCGGCGATTTTTTTTCTTCACTGTTTCACAGGGCCACACAAACACGCGCACTTTTTTTCAGCCGCAGTTAGGCAGTCAAGCGACGCTCTTGAGCTGCTTGCATATTGTTTAAATGCTGCTACGTAGCCGCACTTAACTGTTGTGTATATTTATTCTACCGAATTGCACGCGGTTTTCGCCAATTTTGTTGTTTTTCTTGGGAGTTGTATCTCAAGTGAACATGCTACCAAAGTGAGCAAACAATGTTTTAACCAACACTAACAGATTTGCTTGGCAGCTGTGGGCACCCTAAAATGTTAACATTTGCTTCTGCTAACAGCACGCAATAATTGATTGACTCAAAATTAATACAAGTGAATGGTTGATAAATAGCCATAAACTAAATATTAAGTCATATATATTTTTATACTCTCTGGCACACTATTTGTGAAAAATTCAATGTTGATATATTTATGGAAAGATAACAGAGCCATAACTCAGCAGCTGTTCGCTAAATAACTTCGATTTCCAACACTGGTGAAAAACTCGACCCACAAGAAATATATAAAATAGAAATAGATTTATGTTCATTCATAAAATTAAAATGATTTCGATATATTTTAGTAGGTCTCCAATTTAGTAATAAAATTGTATATGATTTTAAATTTGTATGTATGTATGTATAATCTTCAAACTTCAAATAAGTAGTTGTTTGGATTTAAAGGTCTTCTTGTAACAGTCCTTTTTGAAATGAAGCGCGTACTTTACTGTTTGTGAATGCTATACAGAATATTAATTTGGTATTTTCCTTAAATTATTTTTGGCATTTTTTGGAGCCACTTGCTGGTGGCACGGTGCATTGCAGCAGGTGGCGCCGACTTGGCGTCAGTTCCATTTGACGTATATCTACAGCAAGTAGGACTCGCGCAAAATTGTAAAAGTTGTCGCGCGTAAAATTTCACGCGTACAAAATACTTCCGATTGCGCCGGCAGTGTAAGGCAGCGTAAGTGATAACAGTAACGCATTGATAACGGTGCGCGTGGGTGTTACGTTTGTTACTTTACTTCGATGTTACACACTCCGTTTCTTGTTCCTGTAGTTGTGTGCTGCAAAAGTTGTACTCACATGTGCTTCTTCTTCTTTGCCGGCATATGGCGTCTGCTTGGCTATTGGGTTTGTTGTTGTTACTGTTTCTTGTTCTTTATGTTGTTGTTGTCGTTGAAACGCCGCTAGCCGAGTCATAGAAGCTTAGTGAAAGATTAAAGCTTCAATTGAAAACATAATTAACGTATAATGATGTTTAACTTGCACAAAATGCGCATTACAAGAATTTTGATGACCGCTACCCATTTATTTGGTTGTTTTCAAAAGGAGGAATATTGATTTAGTGGCAGCACATGAATCCGGAAACAAAATTTAAAGACATTTAAGAAATAATGATTTCGATCTTATAATTGTTAAGTGTCAAGAATATGTCAATCTCTTTTATTTTAAGCTGCTTTAACGTAATTTCTCAGGAATATTAACGGGGCATTTGCAAGTCAGTCGTTTCTATTAGTTCTATTATGCATACAAGAAAAAAAAAATTCCAACAATTCAAAATGGCAAGATCAGCTTTTTCCGATTTACACAGAAATTCAAATTATCGAGAATTTTTATCAAGGGGTAGAATTATCGGCTGTATTTTAATTTTTATATACATAAGTAGTAAACAGGGTATTTGCTGGTCAGCCACTTTTGATTAGCGCCGCTCTTTTATTTGCCTGTCTAGTGCTTTACCAACTGTAAACTGCTTCAATTGTTTTGCATTTGACGTAGCGCGTCCTTCGGCCCATTAGGGCCACGTAATTATTCTGATTACTTGGCACAGACCAAGTAAACACCACCAGTACGAGCAATAATAACAACAAAAACAACAACAACAACAGCGGCAGCAGCAGCGCATGAGTAAATTCCCATGCTGCGCTACTGACCCAGTGCCATAGTCAAGTTGCGCCATTTGATTGGCGACGTCACAAGGGGAAATGCGCCGCAGCAAAGCAAAAATAATTACGCTTCAATTTGATTCAGGATTTCGCTTGATTGAACCGAACCTTAGAAAAACACCAACAAAACTGAGCTTGCCAAAAATAGCAATAAATTAAAAAAAAAAAAAAAAAAAAAAAAACAATTGTAATGGATTTGTGCTTAGAGTTTAGCACTTACAGTAAATAATTCAAACTGTCAAAAAAAGCGAC